CCTACAAATTGAAGGTTAATGGCAATCCTGCCTCAAGGCAAGTCTATAGGTAAAATCTTTCCAAGAGCATGTGCTCACTTCATGGCTCTCTGCCACATTTTAGTAATTCTCCCAATATTTTAAACTTTTTCATTATCTGTGATGCTGATCTATGAGCAATGATCTTTGATGTTAGTATTGGTAACCGGTTTGGGGTACCATGAACTGCATCCCCAGAAGACAGAAGATGTGATCGACAGATGTCATGTGTGTTCCGACTGCTCGACCAGCGGGCTGCTCCTCATTCCTCTTCCCCTCCTCAGGCCTACCTATGCTCTGAGACCCAGCAATACTGAAATGAAGCCAATTTACAACCTTACAGTGGCCTCCAAGAATTCAAGTGAAAAGAAGGGTTGGATGTTTGTCACTAAAAATGAAAAGCTAAAAATTATTAAGCTTAGTGAGGAAGGCGTGTCAAAAGCAGAGACAGGCCAAAAGCCAGGCTTCTGGAATCAAGAAGTTAGCCAAGTGGTGAATGCAAAGGAAAAGTTCTTGAAGGAAATGAAGAGTGCTGCTCCAGGGAACACACACATGATAAAAAAGCAAAACAGCTTTGTTTCTGATATGGAGGGAGTTTTAGTGGTCTGGATGGAAGACCACAACGTTCCCACAGGCCAAAGCCGAATCTAGAGCAAGGCCCTTGCTCTCCTCAATTCTGTGAAGGCTGAGAGAAGAGGAGTTTGAAGCTATTAGAGGTTGGTCGTGAGATTTAAAAAAAGAAGCTGTCTCTGGAACATAAAAGTTCAAGAATAAGAGTAAGTGCTGATAGATAAGCTGTAGCAAGTTATCCAGACTAATCTCAAATCATTTTTGAAGTGGCTACACTAAATAACAGATTTTCAGTGTAGATGAAACAGTCTTCTATTGGGAGATGATGTCATGTAGGACTTTTATAACCAGAGGAGAAGTGAATACTTGGCTTCAAATCTTCCAATGATGCTTTTGTTAGGAGCTAATGCAGCTGGTGACTTTAATTTGAAGCCAGTGCTCATTTATCATTCCAAAATTCTAGTGTCCTTAAATATGACGCTAAATCTACTCTGCCTGTGCCCTATAAATAGAACAACAAAACCTAGATGATAGCACACTAGTCTACTGTATGGTTTTTACTGAATATTTTAAGCTGATTGTTGAGACCTATCACTCAGGGAAAAAGATTCTACTCAAAATATTACTCTTTATTGAAACTGCACCTCATTGCCGAAGAGTGATGATGGCGTTGTGAGCAACTCACGCGCCCGTGCTCACTAGAACAACAATCATTCTGTATGCCATGGGTCGAGGAGTAATTTCAACTTTCACATCTTATTTTAAGAAATAAATTTTGTAAGGCTATAGCTGCCACAGATTAGGGATTGATCTGGGCAAAGTAAACTGAAATCCTCTGGAAAGGAGTCACCATTCTAAATGCCATTAAGAACATTTATGATTTAGAGAAGAAGGTCAAAATATCTTCCCAACTACCCCAGGAGCTTGGAAAAAGTTGATTCCAACCCTGTGGAAGACTCTGAGGGGTCAAGGCTTCCGTGGAGGAAGTGACTGCAGTTGTGGCGGAAGCAGCAAGAGAACTAGAACCGACGAGCAGCCGAGGAGGGGCTGGACGGTGACGTCTCTGAGGCACCATGAGCTGGGGAGGGGCTGCTGCTTACTGACGAGCAAATACAGTAGTTTCTGGAGATGGAAACTACTCTTTAGAAAACACTTTTTGAACATGGCTAAAATCACAATAAAGGATTTAGAATATTATGTAAACTGTTTGATAAAGTGGCAGCAGGGTTTGAGAGTACTGAGTTCAATTCTGAAATAAGTTCTACTATGGGTAAAATACTATCAAACAGTGTCACATGCTATAGAGAAATCTTTTGGGAAAGGAAGAGTCAATCAATACGGAAAACTTTAGTGTCTTAACACAACCACCTTGACTTGGAGCAGCCGGCACCCTGATCAGTCAGCAGCCATCAACATTGAGCTAAGACCTTCCATCAGCAAAAAGATTCACTGAAAACTCAAGTAACCTTTAGAATTCATTAGCAATGAAACTTTTTAAAATTAAGATTTGTACATTTTTAGATACAATGCTATTACATACTTACAGACCACAGTATAGTATGAACATAACTTTTATGTGCTGGAAAACTATATTTTCTTGCCTCACTTTATTTCGACATTCACTATATCAGGGGTCCTCAAACTTTTTAAACCAGGGGCCAGTTCACTGTCCCTCAGACCGTTGGAGGGCCGGACTGCAGGCCCCGGGACGAGTTGGCTGCTAAGCAGGACAAGCAGTGGTGGCAAAAACACCCAGCCAGCTGGATAAATGTCCTAGGCGGGCTGCATGTGACCTGTGGCCATAGTTTGGGGACTCCTATACTATATTGAGGTAGTCTAGATATGCCTACACTGAATAGGTAGTGGAAGAAGGCAGTTATAAGTACCAGCTGCAGAAACAAAGCACCCAGTAACATTTCTTTATTTTGATATTAGTTGTGTATATATACATATAAACTAAATGTTTTTGTTTTTTTCTCTTATTTCCATGTCATCTAATGTAACATGCATAAAAAGTAATTAGTTTTACTTCTCAGTATTTAAATTATAGGATACCAATGGAATAAGAGGAATAAATATCAGCAAAAGACAATGAAGGGACTTTGTACCCTCCTCTGGGGAAAATGTCAATGTGTTCTGGAGTGGACCTGGGAGAGCCATTACGTATCTGGTGGAAGCATGACTTTATTAATGTCTTTATCTGGAGATTGTGACTGAAGTTCCAAATAAAGATAAGATGAGTGCCAGCTTAGCAAAAGGCAGGCTGTGGTGGCTTTTTAATGTGTCAGTTTGTCTAGGTTGAACTATATTTCCAGAATTTCTTTTCCTGCCTGTTTCTGGTTTGGGATAGAGCACACGATTTTTGGGTTGTTTTCTTTTTTCTTTGAAAATTTGGAGGGTTAAAGTGAAGCAGCAGCCATGTCTAGCTCAGTCAAGCTGACCGTAAGCTGCTGGCTACCCATGCCAGAGGCAACAAGGAGGACTGTGTCTGCTCCCCTGTGCCCGGGTTCTCTGTCGGCCTCTCTAACTCCTAGAGCGGGGATATGTGTGGCTCTAGGATGCCCACACCTCCACATACAGTGGCAACAAGAGCTGACACAGACTGAAGTCTGCCTTCATGGACTTGCTTACGGGTTCTTGCTCTCTTTCTCTCCCATTCTTGCTCTCTTTCTCTCACCATCTGCTCTGTGAACTCAAGCTCCATCGTCACAGGCAAAGTCAACATCCTTACAGAGACTGGGTAACCTACTCTCGCCAAATCCTAGTAACAAATTCTTTCCTATATACAGTCTATCTTCATTATTTGTGGGTTCTGTATTTGCAAACTCACCTACTTCAATAAAATCAATAAAATATATTTGTAACCCTCAGATCAAAACTCATGGCACTTCCACAGTCATTTGTAGACATGCACATGTGCACAATGGTGAAAAATCTAAGTATTTGCTCCTGACTGATTGACAAAAATGTAATGAGAGGCTCATGGAAACCCAGCCCTGTATTTTACTTAAGAGCAATATTTGCTACTTCTGTGCTTTCAGTTACCTCACAGATTGTAACTCCTATAAAAATGTGAATTATACATTACATATATACATGCAAATGCAATACAACGTCTGAATATTTACTATGGTCACCCTTCAAAGCAATTTTGGAATTCTTTTTCAGGAATGGCCATCAGAGCTGTCATCATACTAGGTCTGACAACTAAGTTCACAAACTGAACCTAGGAAAAATGCTGTATAACTCTCTACTGAGTATTATAACTCTCTGCTGAGTATTATAACTCTCTGCTGAGTATCACTGCAGTCCCCTTCAAAGTGCTCCCTTGACCTTCTGGTGCTATAATGATATTCAGCAGTGTGGGACATAGCACTTTTTCTAGGATGAGTTCACAAACTTAATTGTCCAGGCTTATATTGTAGCATATATATATATATATCTTCTAGTGGTTTTACTGATAGATTTATAAAATTTAGCTATTAATGATAGTGAAACTCAGTTAAAGTTTATATTAATGACAGTGATGTTTAGTTATACCAATATTCTTTACCTAGAAGCTGAACTAGTCTCCAAATCATTTCCTTTAAACATGTACATGTATCTCAGTGATTAGCTGTTAATTATGGTTGTTACATGTAGTGGTTTGTGTTCCAAACTTCTGCTCATTCTCCAGCATCCGTGGCTGGAACCGGCCCATTTTAGGTACTAGTCATAAGTAGATACTGATCTTCCCTTGGTTAGAAGCTATGAAAGCCAAAACCAAAAAGCTGCAACAAACGTTCTTCTCTCTTCTTCCCAATGGATCCAAATGCAGTGCCCCGCTGCCCTCGCGGGGCTCACCTCTTCACCTGCCTCGCCCTCTCTCTGTGCACGCCTGCAGACCTGACCTAGCTCCTTCAGCAGCTCGGTCTCTGTTGCCTAGGAAGCCATCTTGTTTGCCTTCCCACAGCTGGAATCCTATCGAACACAAGGCCCAGCTCAAATCTTTATGTGAATAATTTCTTTTCTGAAGACACGACCCAGCCTTGATTGCCTGTCACCTCATTGAGTTGGTACTCACCTGGAGACGAGTATTCTGTGAAAGATCCTGTCTGGCTACGGTGCCTTGTCTTTTAAGTATTTATTTATTTACACATATCTCATCTCTATAAACTTTAACAGCAACTATCCAAATTACTCCTGAATTATTTCACCATCTTACTAAGTTTGTTAGTAAGCATTTTAACCTATAATTACAATTTTACCACAATTAACAAATTGTGATAATGGATTAGACCCATGCAGTATGTTATCAATAATTAGTTCAACAATTCAAGGCAGAACATACTTAATTCACAAAATAAATTTCTACACTATATTAGCATACTGTTTACCTTAAATAAACCATACATCTCTCATCAGACACATACCTGCTGAGACCCGGGGGCAGTCAGGGAGCATGGACTCCACCGATGTGTCCAATGGTTCTGAGCTGGAGACCCAATTGCAACAGTTCTGCAATGTAATAGAGACAATACTGTTGAAACATAATTTAAGCCAAGACCAAAGTTTTAGGCTAAAGAGATATATAAAATTAACCACTGGAAATGTATTCAATTTATTTTCCATATGCTTTTTTCTTATGTGAATAGTCAACAACTATTCATTACTAAAATGACAATGGAAAAAGTTTATCTTTTACAATTTGGCAGAGTCTGTGCTGATATTTGTTTTAAAAAGTAACCTTCTGTGAACCATGACACAATATATTCCTAAGAGAAGTTTAGAAGCCAAAGAGTAAGCAGATAAAGGAATCATAACTAAAGGGAAATGAAAAAATTATCTGTTTTTCACTTTTAGATTAAAATAAACACTAATGGGCACATGTGAAACACTAGCTAATCCGTAAACTATATTCTTTGTGTAACACCAGAAGAACTAACTTTTGTATTTACTCCTCCAAATCTGGCCCATATGAAAACACCAATTTTTCCTTGGACTTGCTTTAATGAAGGTTGTATCAGAGTAGTTAGAAAGAAACGCAGCCTTGTGAATTGCAGCTGTGCGTCTGAGGGACACACAGCCTCCAACATTAAAGATCAACCTGCAAGGTAATGATGATTTACAACTTAGACAAATGAAATAAACATAATCTATATTCTTTTCACATTTTAAGTTTGTATTTGAAGTCTGGCTTTATAAACGTGATTAACATCATATGGTTTTTAAAAAATTTCTCCACACACACACAATGAATTTCCAGACAGATTTCATTTTAAAAGAAATCACCCCATCAATCACGTTGGAAAAATCGGTGATTGCTATTCTGGTAAACAAGCATGTATTGTGTATTTTTAGATGCTTGCTGCCCTGGTTGTGCACCATGGAATCCGTCCTCACTGTGGAAAGATCCTTGACTGGTAGATCAAGTGTCTTATTGTATTTCCTTAATTCATTCTGTCTGGAAGAAGATGTCAGTTGTGTTGCAGTGAGGACAGAATTTCAAAAGCCCCAGTCCCCACCAATAAAGGCCGAGGAATGGCTTTTGAATAGATTTGTCAAGGCAACCCTACTGTTCTGGGACCAGGGAGAGCAGGAACAACATAAAGGAAGGGTTGCTGTATGAGATTAGAGAGTGGAGTTCACAAAGCACGGTAGATTTTTATAAGAAACAGTAGATCAATGAAACTATTGAACTGTGTAAGAAAAAAAAAACATGAAAACAAACACAACATCTAGTAATGTTCTTAAATGCTTTCTTTCTTTTTACATTTAAAATGGGGATGAAATATTGGTATTTTTCATGTATTACAAAAGCCTAATGGTTTAAAGTGGATATTCTATAACGTGCACTCCTAATCTTAATTAGCAGCTGAATGCACAATTACACAATGTAAGAGCAGAAATTATAAAAGAAATAGGGTTTTAGAAGATATTTCATACATTTGAAATAAGTAAAATTAATATTACCATTGATAGAATACCACATCAGAGAGTTCTAGATAATGCAGAAGATTAGCACACAATTAGCCAGCTTTTATATACAATGTGACACTTGCTTGTAAGAAATAAGTATTCTCCAAAGCAGTGTCAAGATATGTAAATGGATGATTTGTTTTATCATTCAGCACAGACCCTAATAAATTCAAAAATCATGACTTCTATAGGTACTAAAAATAGGCTTCCAGTGATACAGGGAGATAGTGTCAATGAAGAATGACTTTCTCTTTCTCTCTCTTTTTCTTAAACAATTCAGTCTTTTCAATGACAGCAATTAGCACTACCGACAGACAGGCAGCGATTAGGTACTGTATGTATTTTAATTATTATTCATCCTACTGGTACTTCCAAATCTGATGAAAGTCAGCTATTACCCAGGCATCTTTATACTGCTCACCTACACTTCACATATGGAGCACTGTATCTACAGGATTTTCTAGATTAATAAAAGTGATGGTACGTGACAATGTGAAGGTGATTAACCACTTTGTGATTTGTAACTGACTTTAAAAAGCTGAACAATCTACGAAAACATATTCCAAATATTGTATATAAGATAATAAATGTAATGCCCATTATTTAATAAAGTTTGTAAAGTACAAAGTAAGAAAAAGGCTGAATCAAATAACTTTTGTTCAGTTTTCCCAGCTCACCTTTAATTCAAACACTTAAAGCAAATTATAGGTTAACATTTTATAATTCTGAAATAACAGTTTTTGTCTGACTGCTCATAAAAATCAGATGTAAGTTAAATGCCCTACAGACAGAGTGGGTATGCCCACAAGCTGCGTGGAATGACACAGTACCTGTGCAGGATTGCAAAGATCTGATACTGCGGTTTCAAACAGGATAAACAGAGTGCATATGCCATGTGGATGTGGCATTTTAACTCTAGTGGAGAAAGTACGGCAGTAATGAAAATGAGAGGCTCATAGGATAGGCTCTAATGAAAAACATAAACCTATTGGAAAATGTAGGTAAAGAAAGTCATATAACCATTACATGAGTGCAATCTATCTGAAATTCTATGGTATCAGACCAGATCTCTTTCACTGTTTTTCTAATGCTTATTTATCCCTCTTTTCAATGCTCCAATTTGTCCCTATCCTAGTTTTTCAGTTGAGATGAACACTACTAAAGCAACCTGGGTGGTTGCTCGCCACTGGGAAAGCACTCCCTGAATTCAAGATGTGTGAGTGTGTGAGCAGCCCCTGAGATCTTCCCCTCAGGTCTGTGAGAGGCTCCCAGACACATTGGACTAGAGGTACCAGCAGGGCCAAGCTTGAGTCTCACATGCAATCCCTTGGTCCCCCCAAACAAGTATAGGGCAAGAAGCACTTGGCCAGAGCAGGCACAATGGGACAGATCATATAACTAGTGTTTTTCTGGGTCTGATGGAACAAGAAGAAAACAGGTGATAGAGTGAGCGCTTCTTAAAGTTAAGTGTTTTCAGTTTAAAGGTGTTTTTGGTTTTTTGTTTGTTTTTTTACTCTGAGATTATAACTCTACAGATTTTTGAGACTAAATTTTCTTCTTTGTAAAATCCTAAAGTTTGGGAACTCTTTATATGGACTAGAAATTTCCATAAACCATAGTGCTGAGTGACTCCCTTTAAAAAAAAATTATTATTGTGTTTATAGAGATGGGGTCTCACCATGTTGCTTGCCCCGCTGCATCTGAACTCCTGGACTCAAGAAATGTTCCCAGCTCAGCCTCTCAAGTAGCTAGGATTACAGGCACATGCTACTGTGTCTGGCTGAGTGACCCTCTGTGACAGCTGAGCCAAGTGTTGATAATAATTAAGCACAGATATGAAATGAATTAAAAATTTTTTTTAAAAAGGTTAGAATTTAGTACATTATACATGTATCTAAAGAGAGAAAAGTAGGCAATAGCTATTTAAAGTGTTTGGAGGCATTTGGAGATGCTTGCTGCCTTCACTGAGTCTAGATTTTATTCATTATTATTGTATTTTTCTGAGTTATAAATCATCATTGTTTTAGCGGTTAGTCTTCATTATAGAAAGTTTCGTGTCCTCAGATAAGTACAACTGTGAGTCAGCAAGTTGTGTTTCTAGAGCCTACACTCACAGCAGAATGGTGACAGAAAGGGTTAGCAGTGGTTCTCAACCTTCCTAATGCTGCAGTGTATCTTCATTGTTAAAAAGGGGTCATGACCCACAGGTTAAGAACCGCTGGTTTATGGCCATAATGTAGAATCAATTCTCTTGGCAGGACAATGTCAGAGGCCAGAGGTACATCAGGAAGCAAGCTTCGCCCTCTTAGCCGTGATGCTCCTGGGGCGCAGTAAGCAGTGCCCCCACGCCCAGCCTCCCGTCCCTCCGGCCTCTCCTCTTCAGGCTGGCTGAGCATCTGCGCTTGGTCTTTCAGTCAGGAGCTGGCTCCATTCACTTGGAGTAATGGCCAAAGGTAGTACTTTTTAACCTTTTTTCTTTAAAAAAAATTCATTATTTAAAAACTATATAAGTAATACAGAACATATTCTTTAACCTTTGTTCTCTGTGTTAAATTGGTTAAAAAATGTCAACTTTTCTAGTCAACCAATACTTAATATCAATAACTTTATCACATTAATTTAACATACTTACAAAACAAAGAAACTATTTTACTAATTTTTAGTGTAACAGGAATGAGTAGGCAATTTGTACCATTGTTTTATTTCCAAATTTTAGAGCAGTGTTTTGTGAAACAAAGGAGACAGCCAGAGAGAGGGTAAAAGCACCATGGCTTACTCTACACAGGGTGTCCAACCTTTCTCCATCACACATTGGCAGAATAAGAGTTGTCTTGGGCTGTACAGTAAATACACAAACACTAACAAAAGCTCACTAGCAAAAAAAAAAAAAAAAAAAAAAAAGGTCCATTCTGTGGTATCCAACATCACACATAAGCAAAGAATGTTCTCACAAAATCAGTAGGTCCGCATGGGGCTGCAGGCTGGGCACTCCTGCTACAACCAGACCATTATTTTTAATAGACTACACTTTAGCTTAGCTAAGGTGATTTTTTGTTTTTGTTTTTTTGCAAAATATCTGTTTTTTTAGCTGATCCAAATGAAATTGGACTATGAGGTGATACAGAAGGGGTATGCTGAAGGACACAAAGCTGACCTATAGCACTCTGCTCCCAACACTCATGCTCAAGACAATAGCCCTTCCTGTTTGCTGGAGTCCAGACTTGTCTTCTCTTCATTATTTCAAGAAGCCTGGCAGAGTGGATAGAGACCAAGAAAAGAGAAAGTCAAGGGGAGGGAGTTTCACCTTGAGTACTGGGAAACAATGGACTCTTATCTTGCCAAGCCACACTTAAGTATTCTCTACCAGTGCTCACACATTTAGGTGGGTTCCTACAAAGATATTTAAGATATATATCATAGCCCCTGCTTTCCCTTTTTTGGAGACAGGGTCTCACTTCCTTCCCCTGGGTAGAGTGCAATGGCATCATCATAGCTCACAACAACCTCAAATGCCTGGGCTCAAATGATCCTGCTGCCTCAGCCTCTTGAGCATCTGGGATTTCAGGTGCCTGTCACTGCACCCAGCTTATTTTTCTACTTTTAGTAGAGACAGGGTCTCATTCTTGCTCAGGTAGGTCTTCAACTTCTGAGCTCACCGATCCTCCTGTCTCAGCTTCTGTCACAGACTTTTATAGTTGCCCTTTTTTTCTTATTTTGGGGAAGAGCTCTGAATAGGAATAATTCTAAAATAATTCTTCATTAAAAAAGATTTAATGATTTTTATCTTTGGAATATTACAGTATTTCCCATAATAATACATCTCATTTCTCTATGTGTACCATTTGCTTTTCAAGAGGTTTTTCTTCTTGCTCACCTTTGATTCTCACAATAGTTCATGAAGTAGATGGAGGAGGAATTATTGCCTCTAATTCACAAATGTGAAATAGGCCTAAAACGACAGAGTGGCTTGTCCTAGATTATAGGTCTTAGCAAAGTAGCTGGTACGTGCTGGAGCCTTAATTATTGATTTACTTAGCCAGAATCATTATCAAAACTTAGTTCTCCTAAATGCTTGTCCTGAACTACTTCCAATATGTCACCCTGCTTCCCTTTTATAAGATATTTTGAATATGCAAATCATCCAGAAAACACAAGATGAATATAGTCCATGTGTTGTATGTTATTTGGGAGTGAGAGGATAACAGCAGTAATAGCTATAATTTACTGAACTTCTTTAAAATGCCGACAACCATGCTATTTCTTTACACATCTTATTTCCCAACCACTTCTGCAAAGTAGATATTATATTTTATATATGAGAAAATTGAATTTCAAAGAAATTATATAACGGGCCCAAGACTGCACAGTTAGGTAAGTGATTAAGCTGGGGTTCATTGTTGATAGGTCAGAATACAAAACTCTTCCCGCTGTTTCCTCAAAGCCTAGTTGAGGGAACTAAAAGAACTATCCAATAATTATGGCATTTTAGACTTCCATAAAAACTATGCTTGCAAAGAAATTAATGAAGGCCTTGATTAAATTATGGCACATTCAATTTTGACTATTTTAGTCAGTTACATGAAAACTGCACAGATTAATATGATTTCTGAAGGGGACACCTAATCCAGTTTTAGTTAAAAATGCTTAAAAAGTAAATCTTAATAAATTTCGTTACATTTGTCAGCCTTGAGTTAGACTTACATGAAAAACTTCCAATTAAAAAATGAGGAACAGAGAATTTTTTTTAGTTCAGACCAAATATCAATATTGGTTGTTTGTATGCGGGGAAAGAAGTTACTTTAACCTTACTACTCATGTAACACTAAAAGCTGTCTATGTCTATATTTGGGCAGCTAAATAGCATTAAAAAAAAAAGGCAAGAAATTAAAAACATTCCCTGTTAAAAAGTTTAGACCCTTGGAAAAGGCAATTAAGAATATAGTGACACTGTGAAGTTGAAAGTGGAAAGCAATGCAACCAAAAAACACCTTCATGTTAGAATAGATTTTTTAAAAATGCCGTTATGAGAACCAGAATAAATACTTTGGGTTTTTGCACAACAGAAGTACTTTTTACTAATGGACAAAAGTGATAGTGACAACAGATTGGTAATATTATTACACTACTATGGGATAATACAGATTAATTTTTCTGTGCACTCAAAACTATTTTTAAACATTAACTCTCTGGAGCCACCAGGGAGAAGACCGGGAAGACCAGCCAACTTACTTATCCTGGATGAATGGAAGCACATGACTCAACTAAACAACTGCCATGGCATGGAGTAGCTGGTGTCAACTGTTTATATTATCAAGAAGATAAATAAAAAGAAAATTTCAGCTAGATAGCCATAATAGGAATCCAAGAAATAATGGGCTGAAAGATTTTTTAAGAAAGGCCAGTATGGTGAATGAGTCCTTACTTGCTTTCAGGTTCACCAGCCCTTACTTAGCAAGTGTGAAAAGAAGCTTTCTTAGCCTGAAGCTGGACCAGCGCCAGAACCCCTCCCCGCCACCAATTTCTCTTAGCTCCTGGGTCTGGCATGGCACTCTTTCAGCTTTTCACTTCTCCCTCTACTAGTACCATGTTTCGCAAAAAATAAGCCCTAGCAGGATTTCTATGCATTTGTTAAATATAAGCCCTGCCTCTATAAGACGACCTAGTGATGGGTGTGGCTATGAAGCGTATCTGCATAGCCACGCCCTGCATTTCCGCCCAGGGCAGGAAGGAAGACTGGAATACCTTTTATCTGCCACAGCTCCTTTCTCCAAGCAGTTCGCACTTGCACGGGTGCACGTGTGGTAACCGCGTAGCAGGCATCCTAACGTGCACGTGTGAACCGCTAGGGGAAAGGAGTCTACGCATCACTAGCACCAGCCCCACCAACAAGGTCAGCTCCCCCTGTCAGGTTCCAGAAGAAGATGACTTAACTGTATTTGAATAAATGTAGATTGCTGTATTATACTTAATAAAAATAAGACATCCCCTGAAAATAAGCCCTAGTGTGTCTTCTTGAGAAAAAATAAATATAAGACAGTGTCTTATTTGGGGGGAAACACGGTAGTAGTGAGCCCATCTGACCACCTCTCCAGAGGAAAAAGACAAGACCAAGTGTACATTAAGTTCCCTTCCTGTAATTAAGCAGCACTATGCTAATAACTGGTGGAAAAATTAAACATCAGGGAATAAAGAATCTCCTAACGCCAAGACGTTCTTCAGCCAAAGCTTCCATTGCGTATCGTATGCCTACATAGTATTCTATAAAAAGACAAAAAGGCAGGGAAGGGGGCTTTCTAAAAGTGAGTTCCTTACAGGGTTTTCCATCATTATTTTAAGCATGTCTAGTTTTTCCTAGTTCCTGTCAACATTCCGCCTTTACACAGGGATTTTGAGAATGGGAGGTGATGTGAGTTGGTGGGGGCTCAAGATATAAAGGCTCACACCCATTCATCTCAGCACGGACTAAAACCAAGTCTCACCTCTCTCATCCACTCTCGAATCGTCTTGCCAGCTTCTTGATGCCACACGTTGTGAACGGAGTCTGTCAAGGCCACAGCAGTTACCTTACTTTTTACATCTGCTTCTCGTTGAATCATCTGTTTTAAAAAAGGAAAACAAAATATTGGCTGTAATTTTTTTCCTACTGGTGAAGTCATAGATAATAAGAGCATTATATTAAAAATAAAAAAGCAATATGTATCTCTGTTTCAAAGTTACTGTGTTCTACACTGAGTACATACTTATCCAGAGATGTGAGAAAACCTAATATTTCCTTTGTAAAGATAATACCACTTAAGTCTTAGAACTACGCAGCTCTATTATTTTCCATGTGGTTTGACAATTCAAGGATTAAAGGGATCACAGGGGAATCCCTGAGGGCTTCTTTTAGAAGTTTCTTCCACCATTTCCTAGTTCAGTGCTTCAGGGAAGTCAGTCCCTGGGTCACTGCCAGCCACTCAGGACTGACTTCCATGGCATCTCCGTAAAGAAAGGCGCCTGGCTTTGACTTTTCCAATTTAACTAGCCAGTGCTTCACTACAGCCTTGTAATTATTGGTGGGGTTTAAATGCCCAAAGATTCTTCTCATGGAAAACCTATCAATATAGTTTCGCTTTCTAATATATTTTTTATGTTGTCAAACTATTATGGTTTACTTTTTTCTAAACAATGTTATTTCTGTAAAATTAAATGGTTTCTTAAAAAAAAAAAAAAGAGTCTGTTGGCCAGAAGATACTGATGAATATCAGTGGTCTGCTAGATAAAGACATTGAAAAATAAAAGTTCTACCTCAAAAGAATCGAAAAGATTTAATCTCATAACACTAGTGACCCCAATTTGGCAGAGTAAACATAAGCAAGCAGAATAAAAAATTACAGTTAAGGGTTGTGCCTGTGGCTCAAAGGAGTAGGGCGCTGGCCCCATATACCAGAGGTGGTGGGTTCAAACCCAGCCCTGGCCAAAAACTGCCAAAAAAAAAATTACAGTTAAAATATAATAAATAGTAGCCTTGTATTTCATAGTAATGTTCTCTATTTCTTTGCATCAATGTCTTTTCTTCCTCTAAGAACTTCTATTGAAGAAAAAGAGCAATCTCTCTACCATTTGCTATTAATTTTTATAAATTGTCTGTCAAAAATATAATAGTGCACTCAGAAAAAAAAGGGAAAATTCTGAATGGCGATGAGAGCTCAGATAGAGGAAGAAGACTGTGAGCCAAGCTTATGATGCCAAGTGACCCTTGTTGGCATTCTGAGTTAAAAATGTTAAAAATTTCTTTAAACCCTGCAGATGGACATACCCTCTTCATGACCCTAATGGGAATCCATTTCTCTGCTAATGGTGCCTCAATAACATTTCCACACCTGAAATCTCTGTGCCTGAAGGTTTCTGCTCATACAATATAAAAATATTCAAAATCAATATTGACTACCAACATCATTATATTTCTGCAAAAATTTACCTTATAATAACAGTAACATTTTAAAAAGCATAAATAATACCTAATACTTCACATTAATTAGTAACTAGTATGCTATTTTCTTCTAGATTTTATGTTCCAAATAGATTCTTATTGGATCTCACTGGCGCTAGAATATAAAAATTCAAACCAACATTAGATAATATAAAACAAAATCCCACAATAGTGAATGCATCTGGCTTATGAAGAAATCATATATGCCCTCACTCGTTTTGTAAAAAGTACACTTTCAGAAATCTAGAGCAACTGTTGCTGAAGTTAAAAAACAAGAACATGCTTTTCTGGTATTCTAAGAATGTGTCTGCATTTTAAAATATATGACCTGGATTTTGTTGTGGCTGTTGTTAACGTATACAGGTTTATTTAAGACAGTGTCTGAAGACACTAAATCTCAGAGCCATTTGTGGAATGAGATAAAATTAAGCAATGAATAGGATGAGGAGTTAGTGTAAAGTTGAAAATCTGGGTATTAAAATTCTCCAAACTGGAAAAATCTCGAGTTGTTAGAGGGACTATAGATTGAAGAAACCTTCATTCTGTTTGTGCTCTGGCCGCCATCCCACATGATGGATGTGAGGATGCGTGACCTTTCTTCACATCACTCACATCACGGTGGAGTCCAGTGTGTGTTCCCTACACTGTTACAGTACTTTCTGGTTTAAAAATCACCTTCATATTTTGTCATTAAAGGTGCAGAATGGCCAAATTCCAGAAGATCTTAGTGAAGAGCTGTTAAATGAACCTAGTAACAAAGAATCTCAAACATCCGACTGCTGGGATTAGTAAAATTGTGAATGGGTGAACATCTGAGCAGTCTAATTTTTCAGACTCTTGACCTCCGTTTCAGCCTTTGGGCAGCCCAATGTGGCTGTCCTGGGACCGACCCCCCACTGCTAGGTCTGTCCAGAGCCTCTGCTTCTTGCATTTGATAGTCTGGTTCACAGCCCCCCTTTCTCTCCTTACTGTCCCCACTGTGAATGAGCACTGGTGAAAACTGCAGGTGAGCGGCAACGGTAGGGGTGGATGGAATTAGGGCTAGAGACAGAACTTAAAAGGGAGTACAGCTAAAGCTAGGAATGAGTGAATGCACGGCCGGACAGGAAAACACTGTCTTAGAATAGAAGACCATGATATTCTGGACAAAACCCCAGAAATCTGAAAGGCAGGAAGCAATATTTACCAAAGCCTTTCTATTCATCAATCTAAAGTGGAGGTGGTGGTACTTAATGTGTTTGGATCTAATGAAGTGAACACCTTGAAACTCCTTGCAAAATCATGTCCGTATTTGCATATGACTATTTTTCTGGGGAGAAGATTCTTAGCTTTCAGGAGATTCTCAAAGGGATTTTAGCCTGAAAATAGGAGAACACCCTGCAAGCTACACGTCTTCATGCATTCTGGAATGAACTACGAAGTACCTAGGAGGTGAGACCTTTCAACAATTACACTTCAGATCAACAAGGTGGGGGCAGCTTGTAGCCTCAAGGAACCTGTGGTTCTCAGGTTCCTAAGTTTGGCTCCTCAACTGAATCCAAATTTCACAGAACAAATCCCTTTATTAAGAGGTGGGACTGATAAAGGGATTTGTTCTGTAAAATTTGGATTCAGTCAAAGGGACACATTCAAAGATCCAGAAGGGTACACGTAGCTCCAAGGCCACAGGTTCCCCACCCTATTTGGAATGTATCAAGAGTTGGAAAAAGGTAGTAAAAAATTTTGACACCTCAAACATTACCATCCCGAAGTCCCATGGTTAAGTGGGCTACATGTGGTGAAGTTACAGCTCAAATATTATTTTCTTTGTGTGTATATAATATTTATTTACATCTGTACAGCAGTTGACAAATTTCTAAATGAATGCAAATTAATTCTCATTTTCAAATATTGAAATGTATGCCGAATGCATATTATTTTTCCATTGTGGATGAGGAAACTGAGACAGATTAAGAAACTGGTCAAAGGCCGCACAGAGTGAGACCACTGTGACCGAGCCCTGGAGACCTGCCATGTTCTTTTATCCGGATCACATGGGGTCCATTTTTCTATGATATTTAACACTCTTACAAAGTGAATTCATTTGATTCATTCTTTTCACATATACAGTATTTCATTCACTTGGACATTTCTTTAAAAATGTTTAAAAATGATCCAAATCTAGATCAGTAAGGAATGCTAAAATTCTAAAACTCAGGCCAAGATAGAAATCAGCCAGGAGCAAAACCCACAATCAACAGCACTTTAAAATCCTTACACTTCTAAAATAAATGTCTAGGAAAAGAGGTAAAATTAGATGTTTTATTAATCACGATGATTTCAGCATCAATACAAAATATTTGGTCCTGCCGTCTGATATTTTTGTTTCTTCATCTTAATTCCACCCATTTATCTACTCACAGACATTTCACCTTACCTTAAACATAATTCATCTCTTTTTTTCCTACACTGTATTGCATATTCCTAATCTGACAGAAGTTTAACTAGCCCAATAAACATGGAGCACAGTAGTCTAAAGAGATTAAAACATACATCATCTGCATGAAGGTGCAAATTCTTAACATTATCAATGGGGTTGAAATTGAGGAGGAAAACCTGATTATTACTTATTCTTCCAGAGTAAAATTTAACCAATTAAGTAACTGTGGCAAGATAGGTAAGTGTATCTGAGTGCCCGGGGACCTGGCAAGATGAGGACCAGAGGACTGGACTGTGGGGCCCAGAGGTGGTGTGAGCCGTCCTCTTCCCTCTGCGTGCATTGTGGCCCGTCCCCAGGGCGGCTGCTCTCTCCAGACGCCATGTGGACCTTTTCTGCCCCCCTGACTCACTTCACCACACTTGCCCCCAGGCCCTCACGTGATGTACTCCGACACTCTTTTCACAAATACCAGGCCAAATCCAAATGCTTCCTCGCATCCTAGAATTCCTCAATTTCCTGTTGTAGCTTTCCTCCGATTTCACTTCTTCCAGAACTCTACCATGAACTATTTTCCACAAAGGAAAACACAAAATCCTTTTTACTTCTACTAAATTAACTTAAAGTTTAATTTAAGTTAAACTGAATTAAGGCAGAGAGATGCCTTACTTTACTCTGAAGGCTGGGATGCCCTGCTGTGGAGTCTTTGGCGTATCTCTAGTCCAGGTCTTGAGTTTTGGGAATTACGAATCTAACCCAATTCAATTCTCTCACCCGAAAGGGAAGAGGAACTCTGAATTGGATTGGTTTCATCCTAACCTAAAATGGATTTCATTTTTCCACAGTTGTAGTCTGGCAGCCACAGCCCTCAGAATAATTCCTTCTTAGATTTTAAAGTTCAAAGGGACTCCTAAAAGAGGCCAGTATGAGTTGGGTGTAGGATTATATACATGCCCCGGCAGGCCCGTTTCGATATTTGTATATATCATATGTTTTAAACATGTTTTTGAGGGAAATGTTTTAAAGTCTTCCATCAGCAATAGCCATTACCTTCTTTATAAATTATGACATTTGTTACGCACATATATTGTGAGGGCCACAGCATGTGAATTACTTGTACAGGAAAGAGTACTCTGAAAAGAAAATCAAACAATGCGTATTTCCTTCAGATGTGACTCTACTGTACACTCAGAAACCCAAGATCATCA